GGTGGTCGAAATTTGCGCTAAAGGAGTTTGCGGGCGACAGCTCGTGATAAAATGAATTCAGCAACCCAGTATTGAAGAAATATAGCCAGTAATATTGACCTTAGTTAAATTTAAACATTAAGACCTTTCATGTATATTTAGAAATATCAATTTCCGCCGTAACAAATAAAAGTGTAGCTCAATTTAATGACCAAATTAACTATTCTACTTGTATTTATATCCAACTTCCGTGTGGCTAAAACTTCACTGAAGTAATTAATAAAAGCAAATCGAATCAAAGGTTGTTTATAAATACCGCTCTTAAAGTTATCAAGGGACTTAAATTTTTCAACAGAGTAAGTAATAAATATTGAGACTTAGCATAAACTTTAAGACTTGTCAATTAGATTTCTTGATGCAATCATAAAAAAACTCAAGTTTTTTAAACAAAAAAAAAAAATAGTCATCAAACCACAAAGGTTTGATACAATATTAATATTTAATTGCCTAAATAATAATTAGCTTGTTTGCAGTAACAAACTACATTAGGTTTATGCATCGACTCTGTTGTGGTTTTAAGACACTGATCTAGTTGCATTCAGAAGGTTATAAAAAATAGTTTGTTCGTAAGAATAATACTACGTATGCATTAATGGATGCAAATATTATGCATTGTTATGCATCCGTGATGGAATTTAGATTAAGAAAATAGCTTAAGATCGATGAGGTGGACAACTTCCGTAATTTGCGCGACATTTAAAATTGTCGACCATGAAAAAAAAATTTGAATTAATCAGCTTAATCTATGATTAGGAATAAGAATTTTAACCCCGAAAATCAAAACTAAATTTGAGGATTATTAATAATAATCTAGTTTGCAAAAACTACAAAATTTAAAAGTGAAATTTTTCACTTCAAAACGTTATGGTTCTCAGCAGTTTAAAGGTATTTTTCCGGTTCGGAAACGTCCATAACTAGTCGATGTCGTCACCAGTAGATCGTACGTAAGTTAAGCCTTTCTTAATTTACGATGTCTCAAAAAAATTCAAATAATTTAAGAATTAACAAATTAGCAATAGATTCGACTAACACCCAAAATTATAGAAGTCCTGATTACTTTTCATAGTTTTCTTACTTTGTTTTTACATAATGAATTTAACAAAAATAAATTACAAATAGGGTCTTTAATTCTTTGTACACGTTTTATCAATTTGTGAAAAATTGACGAACTAAGAAACATTTGTCTATATTAAGAAAAAGCCTTGACATATACGGAAATCTCGGAAACACAATAATCTTAATTTAAAACAATCATTTGTGAACATTGTTTCCAGCCAAAATCCGAATAGGCGTTATTAACTATCGAAATCTATTAATTAACTTAACTTAACTTAACGTATGTACTGAGTACACAAAATCTTACATGTAAAATTTATGTGAATTTGCCGAAAAAAACGAAGTGACCTGCCTTTACTAAATTTACATACCTTCCCTCTCTTCTTTATAAATAAAGGACAGGAAGGGAACGAGGACAAAAATTGTGCCTTCAAACAGCCAATACCGCAAATAGCCTAATGATTTGGAGAACGGACAAAAATTAACAAAAATCCTATAATATTAATAAAAAAAAACACGCACGAAATTCAGACGAAACGCTGAACTTCTTGCATTTTTTGGCTGTCTTCTGTTTGGTCAGTATATTACAGGGCGTGCCAACCAACAAGTGAAAAAGATTATTTCAGGCTCTACCATTCTTGACACAACTAAAACCTTTGTAGTTTCAAACAAATATCTGAATTATTTAATTACAAACATTAATACCGTATTTATAATTACTTGCTCTTAAAGTTATGGTTATAATTATGTCACTGATGCAAAAATTAACACCACGATCACCAAAATCAAGTTATCGTAAGTGATATTAAGCGATAAAAATATTTAATGTTCGTATTAATATTCAGAACTCGCCTGAAACGTAGTATTCATTGAGATAATAATTATGGTTAAATATAACAAAGATTCTTTATAATACAAGCTTAATATTAAGCTTGTAAATAAATTTGTCTGATAGTAAGTCTTATTCATTTTTGGTAACAATTACTCGTTCTCGTTTGTGATAACATTAGCGTATGGCATAGATCATGCCGTATAAATGTCACCGTAAAATTATGAACATCGTTTCTTTCTAAATTGCGATGATGGACCGGTAGGAATGGCGCTACTATCCTGCTTAGTTTGGTCAGAAATAAATTACAACCTACTTAGACCCGGAAAATAATACAAAACCTCAACATAATAGAACCCTCTCACGGATGACAAAGATTTTGTGTAGGTTTCAGCAATGAAAACTCACAGAAAAGTTGACAGGATAGGTTATTGATAAGTAATACTAAGCAAAGTTCAATTAGTTGCTATTTTAAATGCAATTCGAGGAAAATACTTACAAACGTGAACCCTACGCCGATACAAACGAGATAGCCCCAGCCACCGTCAGGAGGCAGAAGTTCCTTCTTGCTATGCCTGGTCTCCGTACCTTCAAGGTGAGCGAATGCTTCATCCATTTTAATAAATCTTTTGACACTGAACAGTCCAGTTTTTTGTTCCTAAATTTGCACTTTATAAGCTGGAAACGCTCATTTTAATTCGACATGATTAAAAGCTATGCTATTATTAATATTGTTTTAAAATATTCGCATTTTATTGCGGATACAATTTCCTTTTCGCGCACGTCTTGCCCGTACTGTTTCTGTCACCGCATTGAATTTGGATCTCTTTACTGTCGGCCAAAATAAGCCTCATTCTACATGTCAATAAGCTCCCATTGTCACGGACGCATTTTAAACGCGCGATAATAAAAAGTTGAAATAGAACGAAATGCACATTCATATACCTCTCATATGACAGCGTCTTTAAAACGCCACGTTTTTTATCACGCAGTATTACAATTTGAGCGCTGAGCGAACGGAAAAAGGTTGATGTTATATCTTTCGTATGAGCGACGATGTTAAAAAAGCGTCATGTCCAAACGTTAAAAAAGCGCCCGTGCGAATGAGGGCTAACAATTTAATTTAATGCAATATGTTTTTTACATTCTCGTCATACTATTACTACGATCAATTACGATTATTACTTTTTGATTTCCTTTTGATATTTTATCTATATTAAACCATCTTAAGATGTTTCATTTTTTAATATTTGCATTCTTGTATCCGTTTGGAGATGACCTATTTCATGTTATGTAAATACATATAATATTTTTGTAAGCTTTCATTTATTTGTTATTTAACAATTTATTACAATTTTAATTACACTTCTTTTGATTTTGCTTTATTTTATACTTGTTCTGAAATAGATGTTTTAAGATAACCTTTTAAATGTCATTACTTAATTTTATTACATAAAGTATTATGGAAAATGCATGTACAGAAGTAACTCTCACCAAGTAAAAATGAACCAATTTCAGTGAAACCAAATTTTACTTAATATTATAATCGCGAAAGTTTGGATGGATGTTTGTAGCCTAAAATACTGAACGGATCTCGATAAAATTCTACATAGATAAAAGGTAGTTTTAAAGAACGGAAAAGCTTCTTACTTTAATTTTTTAATTCCACGCGGAAGGAGTCGCGGGCATAAACTAGTATCACTAATCATGTTTGACATTTGTATATAAGATACTTAGCACCTAATTAATTTCTTCAAGTGTGCACACGCTGTGACTTTCAAAAGTACCCATTATGTAGGGTACAGTGTGAAAAAAGTAGCAATGACCCCAAAATATATAGCAAAAACAACTTTCGTTTTAAAAAAAACACCAATCGGTTACCCGTCTTTTTTAATTAACGTGTAATGGTAGCATTACTTTTGGAAAATTCGATTTAAGTTTAAAGTTATACGAAATTCAACGATTAGACGAGATAACCAGATATGAAATAACAGTAAGATTTGATAGTTTTTAAGAAAAAACTTTAAATTAAATCCTTACACAATGTAAATAAATCTCAATACTGTCATTATGGCATTTATTTACAAAGATACGCACTATTTGATACAGTCGTAAGTTTGTTTATACAGATTTAGATATCTGCTCACGTTTATATGTCTGTTACTATAGCTCTAGCTAGTCAACCAACCCGCATTGGGCCAACGTGGTTGAGTCAACCAACCCGCATTGGTCCAGTGTGGTTGACTATGGTCTAGTCACCCTAACATAATAGAGTAGGCCTCGAGCCCCTCGGTGGGACGTATAGTGAGCGGGTAATGATGACTCTAACTAGTTATTATCCGTGAATCCGTCTGCAAAAGTGTTTTTAACAAGACAATTTTTACCATACTTCAATAACATCCAATTACATTTTTTTGTCCTTTTCATTTAATAACGACTTTTTGGGCAATTTATGGGAATGAGTCTACGTTCTTCTATTGTATATTAAAGATTTGTTGAGTAGTCATGTCAAACGGAAAGAAACATTCATGAATTTTGCACAGCAATGCCCGGTTTACATTACTCCAGTCCAGCGATTGTACCAGCGTTAGATTACATCTGGAAAAACGTAGACCGACATTTTTCCAGATGTAATACAGAGTAAATTGGCTGGCTGGACGGATCGATGACTGGAATAATGTATACCGGGCATAAATGTTGCTTTCGCGTCAATGATATTTGCATAAACTACACATTCGAAATGCACGTGTTTTTACGACAATAAGGCATTACTATTTAATAATGCGATTAAAATAGGTGTAATAGAATTATTTTATTGTTAACTAGAGTTAACACGGTCAAGTAAAAGTTAGTTGAGTATGAAAATCTGCTAAATGCACCAAGTATATACGACATATGTACCTTTGAAACAAAGCCTACTCTATGTTTCGATGCTTTTTTTTGTAAACGAGAGGTCGAGGACCGATCGTTTTAATTCGTGGCTACTTAAATGATCTTGCTTTTTCCAAATCGATTCAAAACCCGTTGCAATTTCGGTCATTAGAGTATTTAAAATTATACCCGATAGTGTGTAGGTGACATTGAACTTGGTGTTTCGAAATGTCGGTCGGTCAGTCACATTATAGGCAAGCTGTTTTAACGTTATTTGTTTTAATTCCATATTTGTGAGGATATTACACTGGTTTATATTGATCTAACTGACGGGGAAAGCTTTCAGATTAATTATTACTAGGTTTCGCCCGCGACTCCATCTGCGTGGAATTACAAAATAACAAAAGTGAATAGCCTATGTGTTCTTACAGATTATCTCCTACATCTATGCCAAATTTCATCGAAATCCATTTAGCTGTTTACGCTACAAACTCTAACAAACATCCATCCATCCAGCTAAACAAATTTATAATATCATATTAGTAAGATTTGAGAATAGTAACACAACTATTTGACACAAAGCGTTTTTATGTACACTGAATTTCTGGATTTGGATTTTGAAAGGTAAAATCATAGAAAGTAACAATCAAACAATAATAAAAAAAAGGAGTTATGTTTTAATTACTGACAGTTATAGGGTTTTAAAGCGGATATTTTAGAGTCAAAAAAAATAATTTTTCATCAAGAGGCCAAGAGTAAACGCTGGTTGTGGAACCTAAGTAATCTTTTATCTAATAATTTAAATTTGTGAAAATACCTAATCAATTAAAAAACTTCATGCAAAGTGCAAATGAGTCACAAAAGAGTCCCCACTAATGTCGAATTTACGCGTCCGTTCAAAAAATTTATTACCATGATATGCAATAAGGTCACTTTACAATTTATATAAAACGCCTGATTACATCATGCCATGTAACAAGTCTAATCGCAAAGAACGATCGAGGCTTTCTGGAACCTTTTGGAAGTTTAACAGGTTTTTATAAAAAGGAACCAAAAAAGGAATCGTGCATTGATCCTGGCTTGAAATATACGTTTATTTTTATTTCACAGGAACTTGTGAAGTAAAATTATGTAGCTGTAATTTAAATATGTATTTAGAAAATATATAGGTATTTTCAATAACCTACTTTGTCAAATCCATTGCAGGCAATGAACCGAAAATTAATAGAGAAACCTCTCAAATAAGTTAATCCGTTCCAATCCACCTTTACGCCCGTTTCCTGCGTAGACGACTTAACTGTATGGTTCGGCTATTATAGTCTATTAATGTGTCACTAAATTATATTATACACTAAAGCAGCTACACTTACAAAATAAAATAGCAAAAATTCTAATATGCTCTTTTGTAAATGAAAACCAATTGTCGATATCAAACAGGTTAATATTACAATTTTTTAATGATTGGAAACTAAAATTACTATTACGACGGTGTTTATCTGAAATTGTACTTCTGTTTATTTTTCGTCTACTCTTGTGTTTAAGTCAAAGTTAAGGTTAAATAAATATTAAATAAAATTTTGAAACCTTAATAAATCTACAAGGTTGTGTTTTAGTTATTTGTTAAAGTGTTAGTTCGCTCTGAATACATTTTTAATAATTTCGTATATATTGATGTTGTCATACACATACATATCACATACTCGAATAGTTTTGTTAGTTAAAATTTGAAAATCAGAAATGATGTAATTTTTATTTCCTTGTAATAAAATCTTAATAAAATCTTGTAATAAATTTTTATATTTTCAAACTAAAACATGTTATTTTAACCAAAAGGCAGATTCTTTAATTAATAATAGACAATAAATTTGTCAAAAAAACAATTATATACCCTGTTGAATGACTGACATAATATTTTTTTAAAATTCAAAACAGTTTTGGCCCTTCATTGAAAACCAAATTTGAATAATTTTGAAATTTAGAATTGTTAATATTTCCTCCAATTCGGATATTTTTTTGAATTTTACATCAAAACCATTTAAATATCAACTAGCCAGGACATAAACAACCTTAATTATTCGGAAATGTCGAAACGGTATAAGATTTCTAAAAAACGTAACTACGCGTGCCTCGCAATTTTACTCGCTACAACCTGCAACTTATTTTAGGGCTCCTAATGGTTGCAGCATAAAGAAAGAATTCAAAAAACCAAACTGCTAAATGCAAATAACTTACTATTTTCCAAGAAATTATGCTAATGTAATTAAAATTTACCTAAATTAAATGCAAGACTTAGTGCTACTAGGGCCCTGGGCGGAATATCTACGGCGGCCCTATGGCCCCTGGGCGATAACCCAAACGAGCCCCACACTAACGTGAAGCGGCTGACAGTATAATGCACTTACATTAAAGAAAGGCGGGTCTAAAACTAGTCGGTACCTAAACGGAATTACATGTAAGTAACTTTTTAATTCAGCGGAATGCAAAAAAACTACCGTTTTATGCCGTGTCAAAATGAGACTTTAAAAAACAACCAAATTAAGTACAGAAACAAAATACTGGTACATATGATTAAGTTTTTGTGCTCACCCAATTCATGAAAAAACTAATTTGTTGAATTTCACGATTAAGGACATAAAATTGTAACACACAATCGTTTATGTTTATTTTATTTTAACGTACAATTAGCATATTAAACATTGTTTTCGATACATGCAAAAACTTACACTAATATACAATACGTTTCAAACCTTACGTCACCGATATAACATCGTTTAAACAATTTTTTACATAATCATTTTAATGTACATAACTACATGCAATACCATTTACTACAATCTACTTATATGGATATATTTATTTAAAAAAAGGTGTCAAGCATAAGGTAAATAGCACAACTTATTATAATGATTATTTCATGTACTGGTAATAATTATTAAATTTAATAAGTAATTATGCTACGGCAATTGGCACTCTTTGTCTCGGCTCAATTTCTACTCGGAATCCGTCTGTTCGCTTCAAAATAATATCAGCTTGCAGTCTGTATTGGTCCTCTGTGATGTCGGAAACCATTTTATAGTTTCTTAAGATTGTAGAAAGTAGTATTTTTAATTTCAGAATGGCGTATTTACGTCCTGAAAATTTACAATTAATAACAATATATTTTTAGCTTTGGATTTGCTTACATGAATTACAGGAGCCACAAAAACATTTAATGAAATTTATAATGGGATCTTCTAATTTTATATCTTACTAATATTAAAAATGCGAAAGTTAAGACGGAGGGATGGATGTTTGTTAGAGTTTGTAGCCTAAAAGGCTGAACAGATTTTGATGAAATTTTATATTGATGTAGAAGATAGTCTGGAAGAAAACATAGGCTGCTCACTTTTGTCTTTTTTAATTTCACGCGGACAGAGTTGCGGGTGAAAACTAGTAAAAAATAATGTAATCTCGTACAGGTAAAAATGTAACTAACGATTTCTTCAAATACGAAAGATTTTTCTGTCGTGAACAGAAAGAATGTGTTTTTTTATTGTATTTTTGATCATCGAGGTAGGGTGAATACGTCGTAGTCTTTATCGGTTAAACTTGATTCGTATCAAGTAAGATGTGAGGCAAGATAATGATGGCTAGTTGTTGAAGAATTATTCTTCTATGTAAATTAAACGAAAAGGAAAGTAAAAGTGAACCACTGGTAGTATCAATGTAATTAATAGGCGTATTATTTAAAGTGTTTCAACTTTATTAACCATTCTCTGTTAAATGGCATTATTTAGAAAGAATGTTAACAGAACACTACGGACAACAATTCAGTAAAGATTTTGTTAAAGAAACGCAGATGGGTGTGGTTTTTGTACGAGTTCTTAAAAGCGATTAATTGTTTCATTACATTGATCAAGTTGAGATATAAAAAAGCTATTTAAGTTACATAATTGTTCAGAACATTGAAGAATAGATAGAAAATAGATGATTAAATAACAGAAATCTTTTGGTAATACCAGCCCAAATTATGATAGCATCAAGATATATTGAAAACGCTAGTCTATGACTTGATGTTAAGAGACCGCTGTCTATATGTCTATTGTGTTGCAAATTTAGTGCCAACCACTAACAGAGGAGAGTACAAAGGTAAATTTTCAATTTTTATTCATTCCCTGTTAATCTGTCTACTTCCGTTTGTGTCTTTTTGATAGAATAAGGTGGGAAAAATGTGAAACCTAACTCTCCCTTGCTCTCTTTAGTACTTCTGTCTTATAGTAAGATGGCATTTCAGAAGACGAGCAAAAAAACTTGGATAAGTTTATGACAGAATTATTAAAAGTTTTTAATATAATTCCTAGCTTACCAACACAACTTCGTGGTCCAGCACTGAAGGGTATGTAACTGTAGTAGTGCCTATTCTGAGTATTTTCTGGCAGGAAGTTATCGGGATCGAAAACTTCCGGTTTCTTATAGTATTTGGGATTGCGATGTATTTTGTAAGTACCTATGACAACTGTCGCACCAGCGGGCAGTACATAGTTGTTTGTTGCTGAAATGTAAATATTGCACATTATTTAGTTAGTAGTACATTTAACGTCGTTCTTTTTAGGTGTTCCATAAGTTCAAGGCATTACAGTCTTCGTGCGAGTAGCATGCCTTTGCTATACCTTGTCTTGGTTCTGATATTCGTAAAGAGCAATATTTAATAGTTTTTGTAGTAAAGCGAAACACAGCTTGCTTATATCTATGTTCGTTTTCGTACCTATTTTAACGTCCCTCTTCAATTTTCTAGCGATGATTGGTACGGGTGGATACATGCGAAGAGCTTCGAAAATGACACGTTCTAGATACTTCATTTGCAGCGTATCTTCGAAGGTGGCTGGTCGGTCTGAATCACCAAATATGTCGTACAGTTCATTATAGACTCTGGCCTGAATTTTCTGATGCACTCCGAGTAGACATAATACGAAACTCGAGCCTGCAGCTGTTGTGTCGTGCCCCTGAAATGAACTAGACGTTTGTACCCTTTCTACAATCAAGAGCATTGAATCCGAGTCAAGAAGATTTATTTCATTAAGCTAGCATTCTTAGTTTATCAGATTTTTTGTTTTTTTAGTGATCCGCAATTAATGCTCTTGAGTGTATTATGTCATTATATTTGACAGGTTCAAGTCATATGATTTGAATTCAGTTTATTTAGAGTTAGTATTGCTATTACTCAAAAAATATCGCATACCTCAAACATAATGGTATCGACCTCTTCTTTGATTTCAAAGTCCGTTATGTCGTTTGTACCATTTTGAGCTGATTCAATCATCAGATCTAAGAAGGCTAAACGTTTCTTCTCACCTGTGACAAATAAATAATTTCAATTTACTTAACCTTCGAAGTTATAGAAATTATTAAAGTTCGAACTGTTTTTTACTGACCCACGTCATTATCATCATTGTCGTCTAAATCATCTCGATATCCTTTGAAAACTGTATCCCCTAGTGTTTTAACATTTGCTAATCCAGAGTCATTAGTTCCTTTATTTTGTGTAATCTCTTCAAGTGTCGGTGGAATTATACCTTTCGCCTTGTTTTCTATATATTTTTCTTTCTTGTTCTTAATGACCTGTGAAATTAAAATCAATTCTTAAACTGTTAATAATAAATAAAATAGCATTTGCCCGCGACTCCGTTATAAAAAATATAGCCTATGTTACTCACAGATAAATTACCTTTCTAAAGGTGAAATATTTTTTAAAATCGGCCCAATAGTCATGAGCCTATTCATTACAATCAAGCAAACAAAGTTTTCCTCTTTTTAATATTAAATATTGATAACTTTTTAATATTGCTTGGGAAATAAATGTTTACCTTGTTCGTTAATCCATGAATAATGTTCAACAGTTCCTTTTGTTTTTCGAAGAATTTTGTAAATTTAAATACAGCATCGAAACGCATCCAGAATTTATAATGTCGCTGATGAATGATGTCACACATTCTGAAAATATTATTTTATTACTGTAATAAAATGATAGGAAACAACAGCGAAGGTGTTAAACATTAAATATATTTAAAATTCATGACTTCATACTCGAATTTTTAGTATTTTTTTTAGCATGAACAAAATTAATTTGGAAGAACTCTTTCTATAGAACGTGGTAGATTTGCCCGTAACTATTATTTGCCAATACTTCGAAATGAATAAAATCAAGCTCTAATTTCACGATTCACATCTCCAAGGTATGAAGTTGAATTTAAAAACTATGTAAAGAATATTTTAATGTTTCAAACCTACTTCATAACTGCCATAGCGTAATCAAATCCAGATTCGTCTTGAGTTTCTTTTGTAATACCCATAGCAGTTTCTGTAACAACAGTACCTATGTCAGTATTGTAAGTAAAACTAGAAGGTCTTTTTGTTTTTATTTGGTTGTTTGCTAACTTCGCAAATCAATTACGTCTTTTTTAGTATTAAGCAATTAATTTTAACGTCTCTCTCTCTCATTTTAAAACTACTCGAGTTAAAGTAATGAGTATTATAGGTTTATAGAAATGCATACTGTTGTATTAGTTGATGTTAAATGACTAGAATTAGCATCGATATATAGACAAAGGTTACAAGTTAATATTCATTTGTTTATGCAAGACCGCGCGCTTTTTTCCTATTGTATAAATGCGAATAAGTACCGTTGTACCCTCTAACCTGAATATTAAATTACTATGCTGTTTTTGGACAATGCATATGGGAGGGAAGACTTACCGAGCAAAATATCAACCGTGACTCCGCTCATGTAGTCGTGTACGTCGAACACTTTTCCTGTTTCGTTTTTCATTTTGTCCACCACGTTTTTGCTGTTCTGATTGAACACGCTGATGAAGGATTTCAATATGTTTATATGAAAAGTTGGCGCAATCATTTTACGATGTGAACGCCACTTTTCGCCTGAAAAATAGTTTATTTTTAAATAGATAACTGAACGATGCACAATAGTAAATTTTAATCTTTATTATTAGAAAGCATTGAGCCACTACTAAAACACTCACTTTCCAAGAGTCTGAAAACTTCTATTACTCACTTCTGTAAGTTCTTAATATTTTTCGACAAATTTTTCGGCAACATATTTCTGCAACCTCATAAACTGTTTAAAAAATGTGTACCTGAACTAATTAATAGTCCTTCACCGAGCCAGGGCTTGAAGAATCTGTATTCTGATGCCTTGTCGATGTGTTCTTGGCTGTTTAGAATGACCTCGGCGTCGTCGGCGTCGCAGAGGAAAACCACCAGCTTCGAGCCGAGCCATCCTCGGACTACAGTTCCGTACTTTTCAATGTATTCCAACCCTAAGTTTACCAATTCTGCGAATGTGTTATAATTTTTAAAGTTGTCATTATATTCAATACATTTTTATAGATTACCCTAGTTTTTGACTGATAACTAATTTTTTTTAAATAAATTTGTTCTGTTTTCACTCTCTATTTTTACATCCAAACGCGCGAGGGACCTAAAATTACAAAAGTTCGCCGAAGCCTATAAGTAAGAGGTAAGGTCGTTCTTCAATATACTTGATTTTAGAAGCATAATAGAAGCATTTATAATGTTAGTATGATAGTAAGTTAGTAAATAAATACCATCAGGTTTCTTTCCAAGCGCCAATAAAGCGTTGCCGAATATTGGTACAGCGGAGGGACCGGGCAATTTATTGCCTAGTTTATATAATTTGGATTGTGTCTGCCAGCGATATAGAACCCAGAGTAGAGTAGTAATCAGTACCAATGGGTAGATAATTAGCCGTGTTGACGTACTGGGGTCCGTCGGTATATCTTCGACGACCGTCATCTTGCTGAAAATTAATTGCTCTGTAAAACTTTGAACTAAGTCTTTTATGTTATAACTTCTTTTGTGCCAGAAAAAGTGACAATGGAATGTAAGAAAATAAAAATTACAGTCCATAGTTATAGCAAAAATAACTATAATAAGTAAATAGCTTAGACTCAACTCTTCATGTTACATTGTATTTTAATTAAAAAAAAAAAGATTCCGACGAATTGAGACCTTCTTATTTAGATGTAGGTTAAAAAATAAAAAAAATCTATTTCATATTGGATTTATATGTCATTCAAAAAAAATACAGGAAAAGCTTATAAATATGTGGAAATCGACATAGAAAAGAAAACATATAAATGTGAAAAATACTTTTGGAATTCGTTATGAAAAAATCCTTAAAATTAATTTCAATTTATAAAATTTTCGTAAAATTAAGACACAATTTTGAAAATCGGGTTTCAATCATTGTTTTTGACACAAAAAATGGAGATACTTATTTTTTTAAATACCTTAAAGTACTGGAACGTCAAAGGACAACCACCTCCACGTTCTGCCGACCTGTGTTCTACTGTAAAACGATATGCGTTTGCATAACTATTCTTTTTATATATTACGTGAGCGATTCACTTTAGGTTGTTAAGGCGAAGCGAATGCTTGATTTGTTTTTTTTTTGTTTGAACACGGGTAAAGTTTTTCGTTCGTATGTGTTTCTATAGAATACTAGATTATAATTTAATAAAGTATCTAGGAATAACTTTTCTTTACTTTTAAGAGAGCCTCTGCGTTTAATTTTTATTACGCCTATATGCCGTTTGTTCTAAAATACTTTGTTATTATAATAGTTTTCTTTACTTACGAAATATTAAAATTATGTGTTATCAATGATTACAAATGATTATGTTTTATCATGTTTGTATGGATAGAAGGATGGATATTTGTCACTACGTATCTTCGAAAATACTTTCGATGAAAATTGGAATACATGTATAATATAGTCTGAAAGAACGCATACCACTTGCTAAGTTAAGGCTATTTAGGAATAAAAATTGCACTTTCTCTTTCATTCTCCTTAAATGTATTGTGTGATTTATTTATTCCTGTATTCTACATTGATCTTTAACCTTAATTTTTTCATTGTTTGTTAATTGGGAAGTGATAGTATGACAGTGAATTAAAATAAAAATCAAGTTTAACTGAAATGTCGTTGATATAAAATACATTTTTCAATGACTGAATTTTCGTTTGAATAAATAAAAAATAATATTTTTGTGACTGAATTGTAGTTATTTGTCTAGAAGGGATACTTGTAATAGTGATAGAGCTCGCTTAACAAGCACGCATGAACACTGCAGGCACGCTCGGTGCAATACCACGACCACACAGAAGACGGCCCAGTTTTGTCTGAATAGTGTGCGTGCCAGAGGTATAATTTTAGTCCACTTCCCCTTTCCTCCCTTTTCGTACAGGGATAGTGATTCTTGTAGTACGGGAACGCATAGTTAGGGGAAATATATATCTATATCCTCTTTGTGTGCGTCCCGTCTTCTGTCAATTAAATGTAGGCGACGAATTCGCAAATGCGTATGTCTATAGGCAGCGGTCGCTTCGCTTTTTTGGCGAGCCCGTGGCTCCTTGCTCGTTTGTCATGTTATTCTATAAATAAGTGTAAAATCCTGCAGTTATGTTATAAAGTACAGGAAGTGCTCAGACTAAATTTCTTTGCAAAAAGTAAACCTAAGATGGGGTAGCGCGCTATAGCGGGTGGTAGATTGTTTATATGATAGACTCGCTAAACGAGCGAGGTGTAAGTTAAAATAATTTCATGATAATACTTATTTTCACGAGTCAAATTGCAAACACAGTGATTTTGTTCGAGATAAAACATTGTTTATAAATAGTTAGAAGCAACAACCCGCAAACAACGCTGATTAAAATAAAGTGCTACTGCCTTGAAACAATTATAAGAAACTACTTTTGCATATTACTCTAAGATTAACCCAGTAAAACAGCAAAATAAACAACTACAATCGAGGTCAGATTATTACTTAATTATGAATTAATGTCAATCTGACAACTTCAAATCAGGAACTGACTTCCTATCAGTCTCATGTCTGATATATTAGCTTATAAGATAATATTAAAACGCATCGAGCGAACATTAAACGAATAACGTAAAGACTACTCGTGTTCATACATATCGATGCTGTACGCCTAGTCCAAAGAGATTCAAACAAATATCAACCAAAAAATGGGACCCAACTGCAAGACTACCTTTCGGATAAAAAAAGAATTATCAAAATCGGGACACTAGCGGCGGACTTATGCCGTAACACATAAAAAAACATACAGACTAATTGGGTACCTCCTTCTTTTGGAAAGTTGGTCAAAAATACATAGAGGAAGCATACGAGTAGTTGACACTTTATTTGAGACATTTTTCATATGATCCACTAACGCTATCTATTGATAGGTTCAAAAATACATGTCAATATAATGATTTGTATTGAAATTAATTGCCAATACGTGCCATTTAATAAATTTTATATTTTTATATATTTTGTGACACTGTTTAGTTTATTTAATAACAAAAATGGAGCTTATTATAATTTTGAAAAATGTTTTATAACATGTCAATACAAGGACAGGTAAGCATATAAAACTTGACAACTAGCAAAGTACCTTTCAAAGAAGTTACCGATGATAAAAATATTGTTCCCTATGTCTAGTTTATATAATTCTTAAATGTCCTTGGCCTTAGAGAAGTACAAAGAATACCAACGCACGTACTACATCGTCTTTATCGGCTACTGTAAAGCATTTGATAATTAGTTTTTAAGTGTGAATTTTCATTATTATACATACTGTTAAGAAGAAAATTAGTACCGCGCTGTAGAATTAGCGCAACACTAGTTTATTGACATAATCGTCACATCTCTAACTGACAGCTGTCAATGTCATTACAGGATTACAGGATTGATTTTCGCGCGCATTCCTGACGAGATCTCTATCGGAGTGTTACATTAATATTGCTAGTGACAATTATATTAATTGTTTAAAAATACATAGGAGAATAAGAAGATTAGTAGCTTCGCCTTTATTTTAAAGAAATGGAGACTTAACAAAAGTAATACAGTAAACAGTAATTATTTATCACTTGGTGTCACGAATCATGTTGGTTCAACGTAACATTGGCATTATATTTTTGTTTGTAAAAAATGTACGTGTTATACATTTTTACAATAACAAATATACCAATAACATTAATAACTCTATATCACTCGTATTTCGTATTTGTACAATAAATTGAATACTTCATTGATGTCACATACCAAAAAACAACTGCGTCAACAAAATATTTTTTGTAATTCGATTAATTAATCAAATATAATTACAGGAATAATTTCCGAGCCACAATTTATGATTTGCATAATTTGTATTGCTTCTATGCGTGTAACTTTTAATTGATTAGTTTCTTTGCCGTAAAATCTTGTTACTGTACAAGGATATCTCTATCTTTAATCGTTCATTAGAAATGGATTAAATACCTGATATCGACAGTGATACATTACAATGAGGTGTCAATAGTCATATAAAAGATTCAACAATTGTCGGTCATTGGTGTTAACATAAGATACAACAAGCCATCAAATTAAACATACTTTAGCATATACATGTAGTCAACACGCAGTGGGCTAGCGTGGTTAACTATAACTTAGTAATTACCAATATAGTGTAGACTCTGAGCTCCTTAGTGGGGACTATACGTTGCATGATGTGTAGTGTATATATTTTAACCAAATAAGTCTGTAACGTGAGTACAATTAATCCGGATTAAAACTAAATAGAGTGCTAATAGGTTTATGTAATATGGTAGGTGTGAAGCCAATTAGTTCTTATAGATGACGTCCGTCTTATACTAAATATTTTATCGTATGTCTACTCTTGTTTACGTCCTAAATAATTAAATAATAAATTAATATTCAATCTCCAACTATTTTTGCATATGAATTGAAGTTCAAGTTATAAATGATAACTTACTTTCATAATGTTTCTTGTTGAGTGAAGTATTTATATCGTGTAAATAAAGGGTTTATATAATGCCTTGATTATTCAAAGTTTACGTTTAAATGAAGTAAGTATTCGTCTAATAATGCATGTAAATTGGTTTACGTTTATGTTGGGATAGGTGTAAGCTGACCTTTGAGTTTTTGTTTTTTATACTAGAAGGTCACGTGGCTTAGACAACTGTCTGTGAGTAGTCTTGTATGTTTTATGTTTTTATTAGTTTGTTGTTTATGTTAATGTTTGGTTATTTTATTGTAATTGTCCTTAGGTTTATTATTAAAAATCAATCGATAGCTATTATAAAAAAATTAATAATTCCTTTCTCATTTTAATACAAGCCCTGACAACATTATAGTGTATCAACGGATTTTATTATGATTTTAATCTGCCTTGTATTGGCGCCTTTAAATTTAGCATAGCAATAAGTTAACCTAGGATGTCGAACATTTATTTGGCGCAGGCGTTTTTACAGTTTTTCTAATGCTAATAATAATTTTCACACTCACACAATTTCAGATCCAGAGGTTCTGGTATTGACAGAAGTATTCGTTTTTGTAGCCTTTAATTGCTAGATTAAAGTTTTGAAATAGCTTAATGTCATTGACATTGGATATGATATTTCAATCTTATCATAAGCGTTGTATCGAATCAGATATGTCGCGGCGCGAGGACGAATGGATATTAGGTTTACGTAAGAGTTTAATAGAACTGTACAACTAGTAATTGCATGTTTCATATAATTATGGAGCAATTCCACCTATATTTAAAGAAAATACTATAATTAGACATTTAGACAAGAGAAATATTGGTCTGAGAATCTAAAAATCACTATTTTATTACACTAACGTAACTGTAACTATCGCAAAATCAATGTATACGTGCTTAAAAACAGAAATCAATAATCATTTAGGGTTGAGGCTATTAAAGGAAAATAATTAAATAATTTTATGTGCAAAAGCAAGATATTATCTCCACATACAGTAACAATATTGAGGTGTTAAACACAGGACAACGGGAATTTGTCTCCGTTACATCCTTATTCCTTAAGCATGGGGTCTCAAATAAATACCGGTGAACGACCTGGTATTTAAAATAATATGCCTATAAAGTTACACAAACGTTGAAACCGTTATACGAGTTGGGTCGTTTCGAAATTCCAATTTGAAATTCGAGATTATGTAAGGCTTAATATATTGACGGTTTTTGGCTTCGTAAGATCCACGCCTGTAGCACAAAGTCGCAAAAGCGATGAATTAAAACAAGCAAGGCTGTAGCACACTAACCATCAAAACGGAACGCAAAGCTTGCTTCAGATTAAAAAGTGTACGTGAAAATGTCTTCTATTCTTTTCCGAGACGAAATAAAAATGTTAATTTCGAACTAAATTTGCGTCGCTTCGCTTTTCTTAGTGTGTTACAGGTATTAGAATAAATAATGAATCATGGCATAATCTGTGCACTTTGTACCGCGTGTTTCCACTATCGACAGCTTCAGAAAATTATTCTTATCTCTGTTTTTTCAAAGATAATGAAAGAGATGCAAACATTTTACGTACTTTTCAATGACTTTCTCCGTAGACCAACTTATTTTTGTCTTTGGACAAAATAGTAGCTTCTATATTATGCTAGATAATTTTAATGCATATTTATATGAATTTAATCCATAGACAAACATCACAGTAGTTAAATTTATGACATTCAAATGATAAAAAATGTATAAATATTATCACGTTAATAATCCATACGTCGTCTGGTAGTTTTTTTTAATTAGGTACATTACAAGCTATACTTGTTACGTTACATGTTTCTCCCTTTAATACCTCTTCTTAAGTCTCCATTAAATACATTTAACTTCAAAGAATTCATTTCAACTGATAAATATTGCATAGTAACTCATATTTTGACATTTGACCAAAGATGAGTTTTATACAATAACAAAAAAAAACAAAGAGACAGTAAAATCGGGATGATTTTCATCTTTTTGTGCATCAATAAATTAATAGTAAAAAAATGACAATATTACTAATCTTACAAAGGCGAAAGTTTAGACGGATGGATGTTTGTTAGAGTTTGTAGCCTAAACGGCTGAACGAATTTCGATGAAATTTGGTATAGATGTAGAGGATTGTCTGGAAGAAAACACAGATTCTCACTTTTGTTTTTATTAATTCCGCGCGGACGGAGTCGCGGGCGAAAGCTAGATTATTAATAAGTATGAACAATTAACGGAACATTATTTTTTATTACTGAAATAGAATTGAGATGAAAACATTTTTAAGTAATGAACAAGCTTTATAGACGTTTGATAATTTAGAGTAGACGTTAACGATGTTCATAGCAGCATTAGCAGAAACTCTTAAACATGTATTAAGGAGGTATTTATTAGTGATAAGATAATTCTTAATCAAACAGAGTGACTCCCATCACTCGTATCGTAAGCGTCGAGCCGACCATGCTAGTGTAGTACACAGTATAACAAGTGTATCGAACCAAGATGGACCCGGGCGCTGCGTCCGAATTGGAGAAAATCAACAAAAGTGCCGTTGAAAATGGTAATTGTGACACAAAGGAGGATTATTATACCGAAGAACGATCGCCTTTTAGAAGACAGGTACGTTTTAAATGATATTTATTGAATTAAATAAAATTAAAAGTGCAACAAAGATGCAGAACTTACAATTGCAACCATCTCTGTTTGTGTTTCTTGTTGTTTATGGTTTTTATTTGTGATATGTTTTTGTTTCGTTGTTTATGGATTTTTCTATCGACCTTTTTAATCAAATCGTGGTTTATTTACAAAATGTTTCCCAATCGATTTTTTTTCTTTGTTCGCATTTGTAACATCATTAGTACTCAATTATGCTTGGGTTTAAGAAATTTGTAATGTCTAAATAAATATTAATTGATCTTTAGATAAAAATATATGTGAAGAAGAGATAAGCATTTTACGAGTGTAGACAGACAGATATTTAATTATGATAACGAAAAACTTTTTTTTTGTTTGTACACATTTTTACTTTACTTCTTTCTTTTTAAGTTAGATCAAGAATGAATACTTTCGTGACGATAGGACCAAGGTATTTCGCGTGCTAACAAAACTCGAACAAAGAAAAATTCATCTTTTATAAAATGATAGTAAAATATTAATATGTCATTTTCTGTTCACTTATAAATAAAAAAAAAATGTTTACCGATAAAATTTAAATATAACCCAATACGATCAGCATTTAATAAAAAAAATCATTAATATTTAAATGTTACGATCTGTGTAGTCTCAAATTTTTTTTCGAACTAAAAAAACTAGTTATTTTACTATAAGAAAGAACAAAGAACACTTTTATAAAATGTGACACATTTTTGTTTCGTAAAGAGAAGAATAGGCATGATCAGTGAAAACCAAAAAGTCTGTAACAGTTTTATAACAATTGTGTCGATTGACTTTTCGTAGACACATTTCATGAAATTGTCCGATAAGCAAGAATAAAAAGCTCTCTTTTCTTTTAAATATCTAGACAAAAGATAATGTATTATGATCTTAGGAGTTTTTAGTCATATTTTGCATATACTTAGGTTACCGAGTTTTCGAGTTTAACATTTTCTACCAACTCATTCAAACTTCAAGGTTTTCTTTCTGCACTTTATAAAGTAACAAACTAAACCGACCGGTTCATCTGGTTTTTGGATAATGAAACGAATCAAAATAATTTAATTTTTCCATTCAATTCTAAATTATGGTAATCTTTAAATTGAAATCGATCAAATACGATTACGAAATATTCATAAGGACGTTTTATTATCCAATGATTATACGTGATTACAAATCCAAATAGTGTTTAGAGTTAATGTGACTTGTTTTGAACTAAGAATCTCTTAGAATGGACTAATGAAGGTTTAACCTTTTGTCACATTGTTGTCTACTAGAATTATATGTCTATAATTATTAGTTGTTTACAATATAATAAGGTATGCTACGATTTATAATGTAGAAATAAGTTATTAAGAAATATAAACTTGACCTTCGCCCCTTCGAAAGTATTGATTTCTTTGTAGTTCCTTGCAGATGTTTAGTAGATAACAAACAGAAATGTGTATAACTGTACTGTACTAACCGGTTTGAAGGGCCAATAAAGTTAATAGGTCATTAACCTTTAACAAAAATATACGACATTCGATGCAGCTTTGGGATTAATTTGGAAATAATAACCGATCGGAATATGGTAATAATTGTTTTTGTTTTTACGTTAGTGCTCATTCCAGTCAACCTAGCTCGACGTAGAACTCCATAATATGCATTAAAATTGATAACTAGTTGTTGCTAACGACTTCGTCCACGTGAAATAAAAAAAAATTGTAAGATATGTGTATTACATATTTGTATGTCTGTGTATATGTTACTCAGCGATAACATAGCTTTTTAATTTTGAAAGAATTTTTAAAATCAGTCCAGTAGTTTTTGAATTATTTCAATACATACAAAAATCAAAAAATACAAATATTAACATAGAAGTCAAAGTTAATACGAGTATATAAATATTATTATCTTTACAGTAAATACATAGAAGTACAGATTTAGGGGTTTCGGTGTTAGAAGATTATTTGTCTTGAAACTATACGAGTAATACATTTCTTGTAGTAGGTAAATGCATTGAGATTGATACGTATTAATATAGTTAAAAAAAGATAACAATTCAAGGTTGTGGACTAAAATTATTTTGATAACAAACGTACATTAAATTCATTTTTGACGGACAGCGTTAATCAGACGACAAAAAAGTATTTAAGTTTGTCGATTCATTAGAGGTTAAAGAAATCACGTTTTAAAATTTCGATTATATCTCATGGAAAAATTATAAATAAGCTATAAAGTAATATGGAAATTTAATGATGTTATAATGAATTTAAACGAGACGACACTAACGCACGTTATATGTAAATATTATGAATACATAATACAAATCATTTTGAATACTAAGCTTAGTCCTCAGAATTTACTTATCCTAGACATATTTTACTAGTATTTTCTCCCGAGTACATCTATCTTGAACATGCTATTCAGTGATAACGTAGCTTTTTATTAGTAAAAGAAATCGACCCAGTAGTTTTTGACAAATCTTTCCTCGTTATAATATTAGAGAAAGTAAGGATTAAAAGGTAAGCACGGTATGGGCATGTTATGAGGGATGAATCGCATGTTACAAGGAGAACGTTAGCTATGAGTGTGGAAGGGTACATCGGTAGACGTAGACCTAGAAAGAGATGGATGGATTGCGTTAAAGGTGACATGATCAAAAAGGGAGTGATGACTGAGATGACTGAGATGACGTATGATAGAGTTATGTGGAGGACAAAAACCTGTTGTGCCGACCCTACGGAAATAGGATAAGGAGAAAGATGATGAATATTTGTAAAGATGACATAAAATTTGTTTCAATAGTTTCATATAAGTAGGTATTTCCTTCATTTGAAAAACACGCATGAAATAAAAAAATGACAAAGTGATATTTCCTTAATTCATAATATTTCATGTTGTTAGCAAGCTAAATAACTTGATAAATTCATAGAGGCTATGTTACTACGTTAAGTATTCATAGATTGTCTATTCCACTCAAACATATATGTATGTACAATCGCGGAAATCCTCGGTGTCCGCTTGTAGGAAAAATGGGGTAATAAAACCAAAGTAGCAATGTATCACTTACAGACTTTTTTCCTACAGTTACATTTAACCTTCGTCGTATTGGTTTTTGTTTCATGTCTCTTTTCAAAATGTTCAAACGTAGCTTTGAAGTGGAACACTACCATTTTTCCCGACTGTACAAGCCAAGATGAGTTGAACTATATATACTATTGTGATATCTTGTAACTAGCTAGGCCGCAAGCTGACGCGGCTTTGTTGAGGATATCAAATTAATATTATGAAGTTCTAAGGTAGGCCAGTAGGTATGAATGTCAAGGGATTGACCGCAAGGACTAATTACGATTGGAACATCACTAAAGAGGACATTTTAATTTACAAATTGATGTATGAAGAAATACTTTTGTAATGTTAAGAAATTGTATATTTAAAAGAAAATTACTTCTATAATACTTTTACTTAAACTGATTTAATATAATTATATGTTTTAATATTCAAAGTATTAAATCTATACTTAATATTATAATGAGGAAAGATTTGTATCTTTGTATTTATTGATATAACTCAAAAACTACTGGGCCTATTTCAAAAATTCTTTCACCATTAAAAAGCTACGTTATCAGTGTATAACATATTATTTAATTTACCGCGGGCGTAGTCGCGAGCAACACCTAGTTAGTAGTATTTAAACAAAGAAGTGTATGATAAGCACTTTTACAATAGGAAGTAAATAAAATGTTGTTTCAAGGAGACGTACTGTTTTGTTGTGTAAAATCAAGTTTTAAGTGAAACGTCTTTTAATTCAACATTTTTATCGACTTGTAAACATTGCGTATGATTAACAAAGAACTTGTTTTTACGTGAAGATAGTAATTTTAGGTTATATAAATGTACCAAGATAAAATAATTACAAATGGTAACGCTTCCGATGACTTGTTTTTTTCTAATGGAAATTTCTCAATTTTATATGTGTATTATACGTATTATATGATTATACCGTTAGAGTAAGTCATTTACAAATACTGTAAATATAACGTTTACGTTTAATACGTTTTGATAAAAAATGTAGTATTTATCTGAGCTTTAGAAGAATAATCTAATATTATAAATGCGAAAGTTTAGATGGATGTGTGTTACAGTTTGTAGCCCAAACTGCTGAACGGATCTCTATGTAATTGGGCACAGATGTAGAACATAGGTTGAGAGAGCACATAGGCTACTTGCTTGTGTTTTCTTTTTAATCCACGGCGAAGTCGAGGGCGAAAGTTAGTAAAGAAACCACGAAATAAGTAGATATGTATGTGTATGTACATTTATATTTCGCGAAGCATTGACTTGCATTATTATTACCAACTTTATACCAAAAATGACTGTTGTACGGCTGTTAACAAAGGTTTTCGCTTTTGTCCTTTTTTGTTTTAAAAGTATTAAAAATTACATCACACTGTTTTACAATATTAAAGTAAAACACTTACTTTTGCAAAACGAGGTAATGTTGCAATCGTTAAGGTTATTTTTGTATGTCTTTGTGTTTATGTTCAAGAAGTTTTTTTATTTTAATTTGTTATCCATTACATAAAAAGACGGAAGCAAATGGATTAAAGGTTATTTAAAGGCAATGCTTTTTGAAAATATTGGTGTAAGTGTATTTAATTCTGGTACATAATAAATTTGAAATAGCTATCTCATTTCGTTTAACAAATACATACATACTGAAAAAGTTTTAACATATACAATCAACCTATACAAGTTGATAGTATCACAAAATGAACTTATATAAACTAGCTTTCGCCCGCGGTTCCATCCGGAAATCCAAATAATAAAAGTAACCTATAAGTTCTTTCAGACTATGCCCTACATCTAAGCCAAATATCATCCAGATCCGATCAGTCATTTAGGCTACAAACTTTAACAAACATGTAAACTTTCGCATTTATTATTATAAATATAAATATAAGTAACATAAAAAGAATTTACTTTGTTTGATTGAATACTAACGTTTTTTACGATGTTCCTACTCGTGCTAACGTATTTTTTCCATGTCGTCCATTAAGGAAATTGTCAAAAATGCTAATTCAGTATAAAAGGTTGTTAATATTTTACTTCTGGTTATAAATTGTTTTAAATTTTTTGATTTATTTTTATAGCAAAGCGTGGTTAGAAAAACGAATTTGATTTTTTTAATATATGTTCGTTGAATCACAAATCTCGAAACAATGTATAGTCTTTACAAAACCCAACAGTCCAGACTGTTGTAAAATATTACATTGGCTTGTAAAACGAGATAAATATGTTTTTTTTTAATTATCATTTTGCTTTTAAATATTTCGGTACAAAATTATTAAACAATAATAAAGCCTTTATCGCTGAAGACTTTTTTTTTTACAATTCTTTTTTTTGTTTTTTTCTTATAGCTATTTACATTTTGTTTAGTAGTAAAATAATTTTTGAACCTTGTCCTGGGACAATGGCCTCCTCTAAAGACTTCCACCTCTGTCTATTCCTAGTTTCACAAATCCACAAACGATCTGCAACTTTTTTGAAATCGTCTTCCCATCTCTTTACCTGTCTTCCTTTGTTTCTCTTCCCATGTCGTGGGTACCAATCTGTAACCAATCTTACAAAATTATTAAATAAAGCCCTATTAAATAATTTGATACAAGCGTAGAATTGGGTAAACAAGTTATTCATTACCGATAGCTACTTTTAAAAGTAATTCTAGTTTTGTATTGAATATAGTTATTTTTTTATTAACATGTTTCACACATAATAAACTTATTAATGAGCTATTATTAGTTTAGTTTGACCCTTATAGGTTAAATTAATGCGACTCCTTATTATTAATCTTAATAATATATTCTTGGTTATCAAATCTGTCATTTTTAATAATAAACAATACCATTATTAACACAATTAAAATAATAAATGATTCTCGAAACTGTAATAAATCTTCAGATAGTGAATATTTATATAAAAAAAATATAGTTATCTTTTAAGCAACCTTATTCTAATTGTATAACAACAAATTTGGTATTTTGTATTTCTTTATTTATAGCGTGAGAAAAGATTTCGAGAATTTGTAATCAACTTAAAAAAAATATCGATCAAGGTTGCCAACTTTTACACGTGGCGATGTTTTTGAAAGGGTTTTTCTGGTTTATTAAATACTAGCGTTCGCCCGCGACTCTGTCCGCGTGGAATTATAAAAAAAAAATAAATGCCATGCCAAATTTCAACGAGATCAATTTAGCAGTTTAGGCTACAAACTCTAATAAACAGCCTTTCATCCATCTATCTATCTAAACTTTCGCATTTATAACATTAGTAAGACTAGTTGTTCCCCTGCGGCTTTTTCTGCATGAAAATATAACTAAAACTTTACTTTATTGCTTACATTTGTCGAATTCGCAATTGCAAATGTCAAATTTACCGTTACCATAATAACCTTGTTTCCGTAATGTTGGCAGCTTTAGTTTATAGTCCCTTTTCCACATGAAGGTTTTTTCCAATTTATTTACCCCCTAAGTTTAATAGCATGAAAATATAAAGCCTAAAGCGTGTTGTAAGTGCAGGGCTTTTTATTAAAGATAATTGTTCAAAAATATGTTGTTATTGCTGACATCCTACGCCACAAAGTAGTGTGTGTTTACGATTCATTATATTAGGTATAGAAGTATAGATTATGTCTGATATTAAAGAACCATATTTTATATGTATGTTCTTTATTACGCATTAACTGCTAGGTCATTTTTAATGAAGTCTTATTCAATTGATATTCTTTTACAAAGTGTCACAGAATTACGACAAATTGGATTTATTTATACCAAAATACTGTCACGTAATTTAAATTTGCAGACATTAATTTAAAGAAACATATGAAAAATTGCCACATTTCAATATTCAAATGTTTTGGCAGTTCAATAGTTCAGCAGACATGGTAATTCTTTTACATTATGTAAAAATATTGAAATATATTTTGCACTTTTGTACATCAACTTAGAAATTGTTTACGTTGCGTCTTGGATAAACACACCAGTAATATTCAGTTTCTCTAACCGCTGGGCTTTGACAACACATAAAAATTGTTATTTTAATATTATGTATAGAATGTTATCAAGCTATCAGGTCATTATCATTTTTTAAATATTCAATAACCTTTATTTTTTCGATTCAAATGTCTTTGAAAAGACTTTGGTCTATCATTGAAGAAATGTTGAGGAGGATACCATAAAGTGTCCATTTAGTATTTACATTAATAATAATGTTTAATAAGCGCGATAAAAACTGATAATTCTATTTGTCAATCTACTTTCTGAGGGTTTACATTGGCCAGACACAAAAATCATGAAGACATAAATTAACAAGAGTCTTTCGAAAGAAAGAATCCGTCAAAGCGTGTTTCGTGTTTGATTCTTTACCTACATCAAATCTTAGTTTGTGGATTACCCAAGATAATATCCGACTGTTATGTTTCCAGGCGATTATAGTACTCGGAACCTTCCTACTGTCGCTCAGTGCTGGCGCCACAGCAGGCTTCTCCGCGGTCCTCATTCCTCAATTACAACATGACAAAGGACACAAGAAATATTCAACAGAGATGGTGTCATGGGTAGGTATGTGTTGATGTGTATAATCATTAGTATCTTTAGTAGTTTCATAAATGTCTAATGAGGATTTTTTTGTTTACAGCCGCAATATCATCGCTCGCCTTATTATTCGGTAACATGATTTCGGGTTATCTAATGGAGAGATTTGGTAGAAGATTATCGCAAATGTTGCTATCCCTGTTTTATATCGGTGGATGGATTACAATAGCATTTGCTAATAGTATACACCTTATACTGTTTGGAAGATTCATAACAGGCTTTTGCCAAGGCTGGCTAGGTCCCCTCGGCCCTGTATTTGTGGGAGAAATAAGTACGCCAGCGTACAGAGGATTATTCCTAGCTAGTTTATCACTAAGCATCGCTTCTGGTGTTTTTATGTCACATTTGTTTGGAACATTTTTACACTGGACCCATTCAGCACTACTTTGTGGCACCTTCCCATTAGTAGGCTGTATAATTTTGTATTACGCACCAGAATCTCCCGCTTGGCTCGCCTCGAAGAATGAAATAGACAAATGTATAAAATCATTCCAATGGTATAGAGGAACAAGTCCGGCGATGAAAACAGAATTAGATAAAATGATATTAGAACAAACGAAAAAGGTTGATAAGAAAAGCAAGATGGAAACGTTGACAACGAATTTGAGAAAGCCAGAATTTTGGAAACCTCTGGGCATAATGTTAATTTTCTTTGCGATCACACAACTGTCTGGTATAAATGTTTTTTGTGCGTATACAACCGAAATTATGGAGGTTTTACTAGGCAGCAAATCTAACACTTATGCTGCCATGCTTGGTATTGATATTTTGCGTTGCGTGGCTCTGGTGACAGCTTGCATCATGCTGAGACGAATGGGTCGTCGACCTATTGCGATATTCAGTGGCACTTTTACATCATTATCTCTAATCATATTATCAATTTATTTATACTTAGTGGAAATACGTGTAATAAGGCACGTGAAACCTTTGATATCTCTAGGGTTAACGGCGACGTACATTGTTGTATCAAACATCGGAATAGCTCCTTTGCCTTGGAATATGGTTGGAGAAGTTTTCGCGACAGATACAAAGGGAATTGGGTCTGGGTTAAGCGTGATGATGACATCAATATCTTTCTTTGGAACGGTGAAAACAGCGCCAGCAATGTTCGAAAACATAGGCCACCATGGCACATATTTATTTTATGGGATGTCAACCTTAGTTGGAACTGTATTTTTATACTTCTGTCTCCCTGAAACAAGAGGAAAGACGCTGTTACAAATAGAAGAACGCTTCAGATCAGGAAAAAAAGAGAAGTTAAAAGCAACAATTGATGTAACTTCTGTCTAAGCGTGAGGTCAACGTTATTATGTCAGCTTGATAAGATAATTTGTCCCAAGTTCAGTATGACATTTAAAGTCTGCTTAGGAAGTAATGATATTACACGATATTACATCACTTTGTTTGATAAGAACAATGGAATATGTTCTAATGATAAAGCAACAATTTAGTAAATTGAATAGCCAAGAAGTCGCTAATAATATGGATACCCATATAGTATAAATATTAGAGCAAATTGTCTTCAATTTGGAAGCTGTAGGAATATCTTAAACTATTTGGCACTTCACCTTAAACTAGCATTAATCACGTAGACAATAGATGATAAATAAAGAATTAATATCGCCTAAAGTGTTTAGATAAGATTATGGAATAAATTATTAAACACTTGTTAACATTGTTAGCAGCAAGGACTAGTTCCGGCCATGTGGAACTAAGGGGTCTCCGTGCACCCTGCGTAATAAAAACAGCAAGTCTATTTCATGGTCCGTTGCGACCGGACAAGTGGCACGCGTCTCCGCCACTAAATTGCAGGCACCTTCCTGTTGTGACACGTGGATGCGACAAAACATGTCTCGAGACGTTCCGCCAAACATCTGCGAAGCTAGTGGTTCCCACGTTGAAATGCGACGAGTTTTTGTCTCTTAGATTAACAAAAAACAATCAGGAAAACATCTGGAGAGTGGATATGGTTATTTCTGGAGTGACTTTCCGAAGTGTTTATGAAGAGAAAGGAAGTTATTAATTCCGAATTTGAATATGTGATCACTATCAAAGTAAATGTCATTTTAAATATAGATTAACGTAAATTAAATGATCTCTAATAGCAAATAATAGATGTAATTACTAATTCCTGTGTTCATTTAATTAAATATTTCGACTTGAATGTTGTTTTTGTTACTTATAAGTACGATCTATTCGTTTCACTTGACCGCCATTTACAAGTTGTAATGACTAGTTAAGATAAAGTGATAATTAGGTCTGATTGTCATTTACATTGAAATGTAAATGTAGTGCGCATGTGCGATAAAAACGAGCCAATCGTATAAAACTACCCTCCTTTGTGTTAAGATTTTAAAATAAAGGACTGTCTAGAGATTACCTTTATTTTCATATCCATCGATTTCTATGTAGGTTGCTCTCATTGTTGTTTTGCATATATCAACATCGGAGTTTAGTTGTGTCGTTCGAGTTGAAACGGAATGAATATTTAATTATTCATCCGCCACGTGGCTGAACGGAAACCTTGCACGTGCTATCAATTATTGGAATGATAGAAAAAAAAACTTGGCTAGAATTATCGAAGCTTACCCTTAACGGGAGGAGTAGCCGGCTATAAAATGAATAGAGAATAGTAAACGCAACCCCTGTGTTCATAAATACTTTCGTTAAGAATTTTATATGCGTGTGTTTTACAAAATCACGTTTTGTATTCAAGGTTGCCTTTATTTTCAAGGTTATGATAAACGCTCTATGTCTTTTCAATATATTAAATGCAATAGTGAATAATATTACGTTTTATTACTGTTCTCATAATAAAATTAAAAAAAAAACTAGTTAAAAATGCTCGTAGTTTAAAGGTAGGTAATTAACTAGGGAATTTCTATCAAACAATAAAACTGTAAAAATAAAACTAGGAAAATAAACAACGGTAGCATACTATAAATTAAAATTTGTACGTAATAAAAATGGTACAAGTTGTAAATATTTGTTTTAAACGTCCCTCAGTATATTTCCTCTGTCGTTGTAACGCTTTCGCATGTGATAGTCTTATCAAAGTGTTAAAGTTCAAATATTCGGTCTGTATTTTTCAATGAATGTTATTCACATTATGATAATGCATCGCATTATTTATTGAACCTATACACTTCCTTTATTATTCGCATTCACAATCACACATTAAAGATCGAAACGCAATTTATAACGTAAACCCGAAACGTATTCCTTTACATGAGTTAAAGCTACGTAATAGTACTCTAAACTGAACAATTTCATCACCGTATCAAACATAATGGACATACATACATATCAACATATTAATTACATCACATATTAAGACTATTCGGTCGTGCTATACCATCCCTTTTATAAAAGGGATCGAAAGCAAGATGTAATTTAATCTTACTAATATTATCAAACATAAAGTTTAGATGGATGGATTTTTGTTAGAGTTTGCCGACTAAACGGCTAAAAGGGTTTCGATGTAATTTGGCATAGAAGTTGAGCATAGTTTAGAATAACACGAATGCTACTTACTTTTTTAAATTTAATTCCACACAGACAGAGACGCGGGCAAAAGCTTGTACATTAAAAAACAAAGACTAACAAAATGGATGTAAATATTTACAATATGTAGACTAATGTATCCTGTATAATGCCTTACGCTCTTCCTAACCTTTAATTCACAAATGTTTGATCCGGAGTCCTAATTTACGCCCTCCCTTCCTTTTCATCCCCTTTGTACAAGCTATGGATGCTAAGGGGAAGTGAATTTAGGAGGATCGCATTAGTAGGAGATTATCTTTCTGTCCGTCTTCTGTTGATTAAAGGGAGCTCGTCTGCAAATACGGATGTTTTTGGACAGCCGCTTTTTTATGGAATTTCGTTTAACGCGTACTCCTTTGTCAAACTTGTATTATGAAAATGACTATTGAATTATTCAAACGCTTGTTAAACAGTATTTTGTTATTGAATTATTTAGCGACATGTGACTGAAATGAAAGGAAATGAGCTTGACATGCGCCCGCCGTAACTGCTGTTCTTATTTCCGTAATTCCGCTGTTTAAATCATTTTAAACGATCTCGCCATGTGCAATGGTTATTCTACCGAAACAGTGTACCATTTCACTTAATTTGTATTTAGATTTTATTCCTATTATACCCATTTATTTGAAAATTGAGTTATAAAACTATTAGGCTTTTTAATAGCAATATTCTAAGTTATTCAGTTTGAAAATTCAAATTGCTAGTTGTATCTTCTATTTTTAAGCCACGTATCTTGACCGATTTATTCCAAGTCACAATAGACTAAATTAAAAACTAAAATGATAACAAATTATTTATAAAACATGTAAAACTACGTAACGTAAAATTACGATCCACTAAAACTCGTTTAATTTTTGGTTCATTGACATTTTCTCAAAATTACGATAAAACTATTTACATAAAAGTGATTTTGTGAAGCGGTTTTTGATTTGATTTACGATATTTTGACAGAACTTGAATCGTTGAGGAGCGCATTATATGACAGTTTTTTCTTTTTTTTTGGTTGGTAAAAAAAATAAAGTTCGATAGACAAATGTTAGTAATTTATTGATCGTTTTAATCGAAGTGACAAAGTGCAAACGCTCATTTTATTGAACATATTAGTATAGATAAACACTGTAATTTGCAAGAGACATGTAAATAGAGGAATATACAACTTAAAATTTACGGACAATTAACTAGTATTAGACAACTTATTTAATTGATACTGTCGCTTTTAACTCAGAGCAATGCTTCTCGTCAAGACTCAAGTTACGCGCCAATCTATCCATACTTCTAGTGACATTGACAGCTGTCAGCTAGCGACGTGCCGTTTATGCCGATAATCTAGAGTTGCGCCAATTCTATAGCACGGTACTAATTTTATTCCTAACACTAGATAATATAAACCTGTATTCTTAATAAGTTATTCAAAGGTTTCCAGATAATCTATAAATAATGTTCTATAGTGATTTTGAACCAGATTCAACGACTGTAAGATATTTTAAGGCCATTCTAGATTATAAATGTAAGTATTATAATGAAATCCTTACCTTTTAATACTTGTAAACACCGAATGGCTTTATTTAAATACAATTTAACAGCCTTACAAATAAACGCAATAAGTTACATTTAGGAATAAACTCAGTATAAGCAAGTATTAGTACAAATTTTGCTTATAATCAGTTTATTCCTAAGTTTAACTTTATACCGCGTATAAGGCTCACCTCATTAATGAAAGCTTCTTGATTAGCTTACCTAAGAACAAATCATAGCAAAATAATAATAATTTTGTATTGAATTAGTCGAATTATTCCATTACATGATCGTTACTTTGCGTAAGAAAGTTTGATAAGAAAATATTACTAAGTATACGCATTTTAATACAAAGTCTTTGTTCAAATATTATATAATTAATGACGTAAAATATGTTAATCGTAGAATTGCGAGAGATCGAGTTTTATCTCTAATACTTACGCATACATAGTAAATTATGTTCTAACACGCGTGAACAAAGACAATGTTCACTCAGTTCAAAGATTAAAGTCGTTACATTATCTTATTTACAGTGAAAACCTCTTCAGTTCAACTTTGATGAGTCATTAGAAAAATTACAATGTTAGTGCACATGCAGCTGCGACTCGTAATTTGTGACGACTATATGAAACACGTAATTCATGATAACCCGAAGTTTATTGCGTCTATATCGCGAAAAATCTCGGAATAAATTCTAGACGAGAAAATAACTAAGTAACAATGTGTTTTCACTATTTCTTTTTATTATACAACGTCAGAAGATCAATTTACTTAGTTATTCTAGTGAACTAAGCAAATCAAATAGGTAGTTTCATTTTGAGACAAGAACGTGCATATGGTGTGTGTGGTTAGACCGTGAGATCTTTTTATTTATTTAATTCGAAACAAATTTCTACAAATTAAAATCAAACCGTAACATATGCCACCGTGACTTTTGGCGTACGCTGGAGTTAATTTAGAGTAACTTTTTGTACAATCTGTGTTGATCGCCAGATGTCGCTCCACTCGCATGCCGTATGGCGGCGCCGCAGCAGAGTTTGGTGCAATTTCTCTGTCTACTATCTCCCTTGATATGTCGGCTCTGGGAAACATGGTTTGGCCTTGTTTCGTTTTTTGCAGGGTCATTGTAAATTCGAAGTGTTTCTCTTAAGGATTTCGATGGCTTCTTATAATTTTACAACCTAATAGCCTTCTTAGCATTAAGTGATTTAATACAATTTGCTTACTTAACCTATTTGAAAATTTATTTTTTCAATTTCTCTATACGCGTTGTCTGATGTAATTACAATACACGGTAGAGCAAAGATAAATTTGGTCACATTGACTACAGGTAAAACGACTTTTTTGCCATGATACTATTTTTGATGCCGTGATCAAATATTATTATTTCTTTAGCCCGGACCATTAGGGTGCTCGCATAAGACGTGCAGATTATGAAAGCGGTTCTAATCTTTGAACACGTGGATCGTAGACGAAGCGACCTATGCGTTGAAAAAGTGCTTATTCAGTTTTGTTCGTTATGTTCGGTAGTACCCTAAAGGCGAAGTCCGTTTTTTGCCCGTTCCCATGAACCCTGTGACAATGGAAGCGACCTCGCTGAAAGACTCCACAGAACAGATCCACGCAAGAATAAATATTATACAACAATAGGGTAGCTTCTTTGACTTTACCTTGCGTGTAGCTCGCTTAGATGTGTTTGATACTTGTGTTTTTTTTTTACTTAACGATAGTCGAAAAATTTACTCAAAACAATAAATGTACCTACTATATCCAATATTTGGATTACTTCAATAATTACTCGGAATATGAAAACCAATATATTTTGATAGGTTATATTTAAAACGGCATTATTAAATCTTAATATCTTCAACACAAATTTTTAATTTAAAATTTTACTTATTAATATAAAATTAGACAAGTATCAAAACTATTATACTAGACTTGGGCGCAAGACAACAAAAGCCATAGCGGGCCGTAACGGATTTTTTCCTTGAGTTTATCGATCAGGATTCCTTCCTAGTCAGGCACTGCAATAGATTTTGTCATGGTAAACAGTCGGCTTTCTCACGAATATCCTTACGTGGCCCACTTTCTTTTAATAAAGCTTATATTTCAAATATTATTATTTTGGATTTGTTAGAATCGTTAGGCAAGCTACGAAAGATTATGAGTAACTTAGTAAGTATTTTTAACATATAACTAAACATCTGACTTCATTTTTAGTTTATTCAATCATTTATAAGTAAAAAACATGATATTTACACAAAAACATTATGTAAAAAACAATATTTTTTTATTAAAACATTAAATAACATTGATTCAAGATAAACTTTGTTTCAAACCACCCGTGTTTTTCAAAGGTTAAGTACTCGTAAAGTATCTTAGATAAAACTAAATAGTTTACTCTTCATGCTCCTAACCCTAACATAAAGATAAGAATCCTGAAGTGTCCTAACATGCGGGATTATATTTTCTATACATTATATGGGACTTCGATCATTAGAGCGTTTATAGCAGATTAAAAAGAAATTATGGTACCTACTTTTATCTACATATATTAATATTACAAAGAGGATTTGTATTTTTGTATATATTGAAATAACCCAAACACTACTGGGCATATTTTAATTTTTTTTACCGTTTGAAAGGTAATTTATCTGTGAGTACCATAGGCAAAACAGCTGAACGGATTCCGACTAAATTTGGCAAAGATGTAGAGGTTAGTCTGAAAGAACAACTAGGCCACTTTCTTTTGTACTTTTTTAATTTCTCGCGAACGGAGTCACTTGCGAAACCCAGTTAAATATGTATACGATACTAGAACTTAGAATATATTCTAGTAGACAAAACATCTGAGATCAAATCGATAAACACGAACACTCATTTGTTCCATTTTTAAAATTGCGTCAAATTATTTTTTTATTTCAAAGGTGCGTTGTGTATACTGCCAGCTCACGTGTATTGAAATCTTTAATCACTAGTAACAGCGCCTGACGAATGAACCGGAAAATATTTAAATGGAAGCCGAAATACCGTGCAATGCGTTTACTCCCTAAAATATTATGATATGGTAACACAAGAAAAAAATATACGAAAAAATCAAATTCCTCCAGCACCCGGAAAGATCACGGGTACACGTAAGAAATAATATTTTGCCTACTTTGAAATATTTGACATTCCGTGTATAGTGGAATGCAAAATATTTTTACTAATTAGACTTCAACCGTAAAATTAAATCACAAGAGTAGGACAAAAATAAAGTATAAATAAACACGTTATTAACTTTAAATACAATATAAAAATATATATGTACATTTTAAAAGGTAACAAATCCCTTTTATGGCTCTTTTATCTTTCACGCAATTTTATTTTTTAAGTTTTTTATTTTCACTTGCTAATTTTAAGAAATAATAAACTAATCTCGATGATTAGATCGAAATATTTGCATGAAAATTAAAACAAGTTCCTTTACTATGAATAGCGACTGAGTCTAAAATTTAAATGACCCGTTTTGAGCCAATCACCAAGGGCTTATTTGAGAGCATTTTTTGTTGCGCAGTAACAGCACCGCATTATAATCACAATAGCTTTGCCGCTAACCGTTAACGTACTTCATTTTGGGACGATGCATTCAGTTCGCTTAAATTTAATCTTTAGTTTAACAATTACAGCATTATCTTATTAGTAGAAACTAAACTAGTAATTATTTTATTTTAATTTTGCCTTTTAAATCGAAAGTAATTCTGATTTCAATATCTTTAAGTATTCGTAAGTTCAGTTTTTTATCGAAACTCCTTTAAAGTTAACCGAGTTACTAAATATTGTGGGACTTGCCCCATCGCTTAACGCTAAAGCGGTTAATAGGTTATTTCAGATTATAATTCTGTCGGATAAGTGGTTGCATACAAAATAAGGTCAATTAATTCAACGTACACGATTCCATTGCTTATTTTAGTTTATAACTTGAAGACCGTTAGCTAACAAAAAATGTCAAAGAATAGTTCAAACTGTAGAAATAAAATAAAACGTCCAATTATCTTGAAATAAATTATAATAATTTTATTGTTCTAAATTATCTACATACTAACATCACATAATTTATAGTTAAAGGCACTGTAAGATAAAAATTACTATTTTTTAAACTATTATGGTGCCTAATCGAAATGTTTTCGACACAATTTCAAATTATAAATTAAGATACATTATCAATATTTTACAAAAATCAACTATACTATGATAAAAAATCTATAAATTCATTATCTGAATCTTATATTTAATATCTAATGTAGTGTTGTTTATAAGGTATCTCTAAAAATGTAATATAACAATTAGAATGTATTTAGAACTAACTGCCAGGAGCGCTAAGGCTTTATTACACGGAGTGACCGTTACAACACACCTTGCGCCCGCTCCATACATTGCTTTGGGAACAGCTGTATGTTACGTTTTATTACACGCTATTTCTATACAAGATAAATTACGTTACTTTATATTATTATTTAAGCTAGTTCTTAGTTTTAGACATAGGACGGCTTTGTCTGGTTTTCTCTTGCCACCATTTTAATGTTTCTTCAAACTGTTCTCTATCTTCGGGTGTTACTTGAATTTCTGGAAGCTCTTTCTTAAGCTCAACTTCATTGTATGGTTGATTTTCCAGAAACGCATGGTCTTCTTCTTTAAATTTATATTGGTTTTGTGATAGAATTAAATCTGGATTTATGGCTTCTAGTGGCAATTCAGTCTCGTTTTCAAAATCTGGTTGCATTTGCTGATGCATTGATTGTGCGTATTTGACTTCGAAATCACTGTCATGTAATGCTACTTCTGTTTCACTGCAGTAATTCTGTTCTGGTATAACTGAAAACTGTTCCGCTGAATTTGGAAAGGGGAAATGACTATCTATGATAGGCGCATTTCCTTCTTCATGTCCCAAGAGATCTGAAGATGGAGTCAATGGTTGACCAACACATTCTTCTTCATCGTACAATTGGGGCGTAGCAACAAGGTGAAATTGTTCTGACGATGGCATTTCCATATAAGAATGTTGGTGTAATTGAAGTGAGCCATCCAAATCGTCCTCATCAATATCGTCATCGTCAATTGCTGGCGAGTTCAAGGAGAAATAACTTCTTTCTTGACTGTTTTCTCGAGGTGACGAAGAGGCCGGAGATGGGAAAGATTCCATTGACGGCCTAGACATATTTTCTTTATCATGTCCAATGTTCAGTAAACTTTCTAGGTTTCGTATATATTCCACGGCCATACGTAAGGTTTCAACTTTGCTCAGTTTTTTATTAGGTCCACGATTGGAATTAGCATTTTCAAAAGCCGCCGCAACTTCGTCTGGTATGTGTCGGCGCAGGGCGGCAAATCCGTCGTTAACTTGTCGCACTCTGTTTCTTTCCCGCGCATTTCGTCGAGCCACAGCGAGTGGAGTTGGGGCTTTAGTTGTATCCTCGGGTAAGTTTTCACGAAACCGCGGTCTCTTTGCTAGATTAGAATGCACGGAATCAGTTGCACGCACTAACGACGACACTGAAATGGTGTTAGGAGATGTTATCTTGTGTTTTTTTCTTACGATAATAATTTCACCTATGTTCGGATTGGCGTCATTATTCGAGATGTTCACAGCATTATTCACGGATTCTTGAAGCACCTGCGCTTTGCCGAGCGGCGAGTTACGAAACACTACGACTCCGATGGAACTCATTTCAGCGGTGAGTTGCCGATTTCACATGTTACTTTTGTTTGAACAACTATTAGTTCCGGGTTGGTGTTTTGATGAAGTCACGTACCGTTATGGAAACCGTTTAGAGGTGGTTGTATGATGAGGAATGTTGAGATGGCGTCAGGGCGCCGGCCACCGCGAGAATGGCGCGTGCCGCGCGGGCGCACCTGGGGTGGCCCGCGGGGGGATCAACAGGGGTAGGTACTTACGTTTGCTAGTTGCACACATGCTCTTTCAAAGGGCGGCATAAACTAGTGATGTGACTTAGCATTTAGTAAAAATATCGACAAATATGCCACTTTTTACAGTCAATCTATATCTATTGGAAGTTTATCGAGGAATGATTAACAAATACTAATCATTTACCTATTGACATTTGGTAAATGTTTATGTTTATATGTAATATGTTTATGTTTATATGTTTAAATATAACTAATAGGATTTTTCTTTTATTTCTAAAATAAATGACATTATGCAACCTTACTTTATCAAGTGTCTACTAATGTGTACTAAGGTCCATGAAATATATTACTACTCGATATGTCGACACGTCGATATAATGTTCCATCCCGCGACTAGTAAAGGACAATAATTTATAATGGGGTGGCGCACCCAGCTGCCGCGTATGTGTGAAGGTACTATAGCACTCACACACGTACACTATCAGATGAAATTGGTATACACGTGTGAGGTAACGGGGATAAAACCGTTTCGTTTAATGGAATCCTGCGCCGGCGCAGGGGGTTGAAACAGAATTTTGTTCCTATAGATGCAATAACTACATCATATTTCGTTTTATCGTAACATCAGGCTCGAAGCGTTAATGAAAATAAATATTGATTGTATAGCATAAATTGTTTCATTTTTGTATGAAGAGATAATATTTATACGGGTTATTTTTAAATATAAGTCTTATTGCTAATTACTGCAAACATGCAATAACCTATTTTATGACATAACAATCTTGATTTTATTTATCCTAGCTAAAATTTAAATTCCTGCTATAATTTGCTGTTTTTAATTGTTTGTTTGCGTGACACACGTGTACATTAGCTAGTTGCATTTGTGTGTGTTCACCTACGCCAGCTGTCTTTAGCTGTTTTTATCTTTTGTGTTATGGCACGCGCCACATTTCTATGACCATTGTGACCTATCATGAAAATTACATTGGTATGCCATAATAGACTTTATAACGTTAGTTCAGAATTCATAATTATTCAGCTCTGAAATGAGATATCGCAATTTTTAGTTCTGTTTATCAAAGAAAGGGGATGATAACTTTTCGATAATAGCGTTTTTAGATGACCGTGTATGTTTAGCGAGTGATGTCTAGACTTCGAGGGTCCAAGTTCAATATAAGGTTGAAATGATACATAAATTATTAAATTATAACACTTTTTCTAAACTTTTTTAATTTTTACGACTATGAAGTTCTTTACTATTCAAAAGTAACAGGCGCTCAATCATTATCAATTATAATGCCTAAAATTACTCCCCAGTTAAATTATTATCAAAATACTCATATAGGTCGATGTGATTAGATTGCTTAAGTTATACTTTCCATACACATTATATAGTTATCTTGTTATTAAGAAATATAATGCTAAAACGATTTAAAATATCTCCAAAGTCTTGTAACAAAACCCTAACTCGGGAGTTAGCGTCGGTATTGAATCCTCATAATACTCAGAGTGCATCCTGTAACATAAGCGTTGTTTTTTCGCCGGCAATCCGCGTAAGGTGAGGCTCACCATCTTGCGAACATGTGCGTCTGCATGTCACGGTAGGCTATACTGAGAGCTAAATTTAGTTCGCCCATATGTTGGACCAAAAGGGGAACGTGTAACAAATCTGTGCACAGGTTTCGAGAAACGTCTGAGTGCGGTTAATGTGTTTATTTTTCTGCTCAAGTGTAAGACCCCTTTTATTTTCATTTGAATAACATTACTTTATATTACCTTAGAACATACAGTTTCCATGCTTAAAATTTAACAAATATCTAAAAAAAGTAGTCAGTTTTACATTCGGCTCTTTAGTATGTTTACTATGAGGCAGACTTTACTTTCTCAATGGAAATCGTATTAATATTGTAAATACTAAAAGATTAGATGGATGAATGGATGGATGTTTGTTAGAGTTTGTAGCCTAAATGGCTGAACAATCTCGATAAAATTTGACATTGATGTAGAGGGTAATCTGGAAGAACACATAAGCTACTTTCTTTGTTTCTTTATTAATTCCAAGCGGACGGACTCGAGGGCGAAAGTTAGTAATAATATGATATCTTTAATGTTAAAAATCTGAAATATCGTATAAACATAAAATATCAAATATTGTAAGGTATGATTGTGAACAATCCAAAACCTGTACATTCAATATTCAACAGCTGTGTTTTGAAAAGATTCGACCGAATTACCCCACTATAACCTATCTCAATGCAGGTCGCCTTGAAATAGCTAGCCTATAGGAATTCATAAACCCAGACGGTTTATTATTCCTTAATAGAGCACGAATAAAAGGGAACCTTCAACTTGAAAATTAAATAAGCTAAGGTCACCGGTATAAAGAATCCGAGACTTGCATCTAGACGACTAGACCAAGCTTCTATAGACGCTTGGGGGAAGTTATAAAGGTATTATATCCGGTCGTTCGCGTATTGAGCTTTATGAATATGCACATAATAGAGTATTATAAATATTTATTTAGACCATAGCAACTGTTAGGAGCGTCCGTCGGTGGCTCAGTGGTTTGAACACTTGACTTCTAATCTACAGGTCTTGGGTTCGAATCCTGCCATGTACCAATGTGATTTTCGATTTTTCGAATTTTCATATGTACATAATTTAACCGACGGTCTTACGGTGAAGGAAAACATCGTGATGCAACCTGCACATATCGGCGAAGAAATTCAAATATATGTGTGAAGTCAACCAACCCGCACTTGGCCAGCGTGGTTGACTATAGCCTAGTCACCCCTTATTAGAGTAGGCTCCGAGCCCCTCGTATAGTGTACTGGTACGTATAGTGAGCTGGTGATAATGATAGCAACTGTTGATTTCCTTGTTGCTATGTCAATTTAGTGTAGATAAATTGTTATGCTTCAAATGAAGTTTCCGATTGTACACGACTTGATTTGCGTGCCGGAGGCCTGGTTTTCGTCCCTTTCCATTCCCATCTGTTCCTGGACATACTGTGGTAATATGTAATACTCATAAAACATAATCAAAACATTAGTTTCCTTTACAGTTTTCTAACACAAAGGAAATGTTAGTAATGTAATTGGATCATAATGACATAATCAATTGGATAATGTCGGCTTTGTAATATTACTTTTTTAATTCGTTTCTCTTTAATTAAATAATTGCTATTATATATCATCAGCGACAAATTAATACGCAAACCTCATAAATATTTATTAATTTTGCATTTCCAGAGTTCAATATTTCGTACAAAAAGAAATCAAAGCTCGCCTTATTGGAAAAAAATCTCAAATCTCTCATTCACAGCCATTCGCAAAAAAATGTTCCACATTCCCTTTCAATATCAATGTCTGGACAGAAAATAACAATAATTACAAGCAGTGTGCTCATTGAACAATTCGCTGCGCGTACAAAACGCTTTTCAATGTATTGTTTCTCTCCAGACGGGAGACTCAGAAACTTGCCCCTTCCTTCGGGACCTCCGAATGAGCTGCATTCGTTTTCAATGAACTTCTTATGCCCGCTACCACAATATTTTTAAACCTTACCATACTTTCCGTCATTCAATAATCACCCTAATAGCATACGTAATAAGATTAAGGCAAAAAGTAGTTGTTTGCATTGCTTATATTTGCTATTACAAGATCGAGTTCTTTTTGGTTTCATTCAATTTAGGTTCACAAGCTTCTTAAAAGCAAACCGTTACATAGAAATCACATTTACACTGCTTCAATGCATTATTTAACTGTCGAAATGTAAAAGCAACGAGTTGCAATTCTTTAAATCTACAGCGACAATTCTCACAGGCAATATACTTGTTTAGTTAATAAGGAATTAATAATTTATTTCTTCATTAAATTTTAATTACAATTTAACAGTCGATTCCATTACAATCACAGACTTAAATATGAGCAGATGTTTAAGCTTTCAGATATCTGGACAAACGCATTTTCTTATCTTTTCTCTCTAAAGTAATTTTAATATGTGTAAATGAGACAGAAATAAAAATAGGGGTTGCGAGTGTAGTCACGTGATCTCTCCCTACGGCGCACCTACACATACAAACTCAAACCCTCGATCTTTTTATTGATTGGGAAGTGAAATCCGTGCAATCATTTTTGTATATATTATAAGACGGAATTAATAGTAAAATTAACATTATGCGTGAAACTTGTTAGTGATAAAGATGGCATAATTTGCGATTTGCATTTGATTTTATAATTCATTTAATTCAGTCCAATTGACGTCTGCGGAATTAAGATATTTCACTCCAATTAGCTTCGCAAAGTGATAGCTATGGTAGTCGAAGATTAGTGATCTTTTTCACTAACCATTGCTAAAATTTAAGGGTCCTTTTAGCATCATTTAAACAGGCTCTAAATAGTTTAATTTCACCTACGTATGGGTGTTCATAATTTTACTTAGAGGCTCGGTGGTGTAAACATCTGACTTCAAATCACATAGAAGCTATTAAAATTAAAAATCTCCTATGAATCTAAAAATACTGTAATGGTTTTTTAAAATGCGGCATTAACTACGTTTTAAGATGCTTAAAAATTGCACTTCCTCTGTCTGTTTACCAAAAATGTGCGTCATTAAGATATCCGTTATAAAAACTGTTCTGTTGCTATTAACACATTATGAGGGACGACTAAATGATATCATCAACTTATTGGCCTCATACAATTGGAAACGTGCACAAGAAAAACAAACTCTGGACTCGGATATCGAATTACGCTACTTAGACTGTCGTCGGCCGCCACCCACTACGGGCGTTTTTGTATATTTTTTTACTAAATCTTTTTAAACAACCAAATAGATTTCCTGTTACAAAAACAAACAACGTTTATTGACTACCGAAATGTCATTTTTTAAACGATGCCTCGTTTCGAATGAGTGATGTGTTTAGAATGACTCTCGACCTCGGACGGTT